GGTTTATAAAGCTAAACACACACACACACAGAGAGAGAGAGAGAGAGAGAGAGAGAGAGAGAGAGAGAGAGAGTCTGAATGGAAAAAAATTATGTTTATGTATTTAGCAGATGCTTTTGTCCAAAGCGACTAAGTGATAATTGGCATGTTGCCCTTGAGGCTAACAACAACAATAACAACAACTTGACATCAATCATGGAGAGGAGGGAACAAGGGAGGGGGTACAGGTGCAGGGAGGGTGCTAGTTAAGAAGATGCTCTCTGAAGAGCAGGGTCTTCAGGAGTTTCTGGAAAATTGAAAAGGAAGCTCCTGTTCTGGTAGTGCTTGGAAGGTCATTCCACATTTGTGGAACGATGCATGAGAAGAGTCTGGATTGTCCTGAGCGTAGTGTAGGCACTGCTAGCCGACCATCCTGTGATGACCGGAGCGGCCGGGCCGAGACGTAAGCCTTTGCAAGAGGATTCAGGTAGATGGGAGCCGTACCATCTCGGACTTTGTATGCTAGTGTTAGCCATTTGAATTTGATGCGTGCTGCTAGCGGTAGTCAGTGGAGCTCAATGAACAGAGGGGTGACGTGTGCTCTTTTTGGTTAATTAAAATGCCACACACACACACAACATGTAAATGCAAAAATGCTTAAACTATGTTGTTTCTTTGTGTCTGAAATGCTTTTCAGCTCTCCTGTATGAAGTCCTGGTGAAACAGGAAATAATCCTTCAGCAGCACTGCGGCCTCACCAAAATGGTGCAGGACCTTTTTGTTGCTGTTGCTGCTCTTCAGGGCCTGACCACAGGGGGAAGTGTGGAGACCAGGCACCACGGCATCTACCCCTTGGCAGATGTTCAGGCCCTGATGGCCCTGGAGAGGGAGCTTGGAATCAGTCCAACATTGGCCCATGAATTGGTGAGCTTTTTTCTGTCCTTTACAACAAAGTTTTGGACAATGCATTTTGGCATGCACATCCAATTTTTGTGTTGTTCAATATCTTAAAGTGGTAGATATGCCAAAGGAGTTAAAGGACTGCTTGTGCAGTCAACGAGGTACACCCAATTATTCCCCCCCCCCCCACCCCACCCCCACCCCCCCACACACACACACATGTTTCAGGTCTCTGCCCTTCATCAGGCAACCATGAAACGCCAAATAAATTAATAGTGGAGCACAATGGCTATCTAGGCTTTTCTTTAAGTTTGTATAATATTTGTTTGAAAATTCAATGAAAATCAATCTTTGTTTAAAAAATTAATGAAGATCAATTTTTCTAATTTTAGGGTTCAACACTCGGCCTTGCGGGGGGGTCCACAGTTAAGGACACAGTGTGGCGGGTCCTCAAAGGAGCCATGACTAATGCCCTCGCCGAGGGCAAAATGGGAAGGTGGCCTTTGAGAGGCTCCACCTAAAAGGCATTGTAATTGGTAAGTTTAATCACAACAGTAACACGACTGTTCTATCTGATAAAATCATAGTTTAGGATAAAATTATTAGCCACCCATGACAATCACATTTCTTTTCAAAGTCAAAATTCTTATAGTCTTAACAACTCATTTGCAAAATGGCACGCAGTGCGCCTGTGAATATCTCGTAATTATAACACCACGCTATCGCTGGCTTCAAGACAGCTATTGCCACTTTGCCCGCAATGTGACGCGTTCTTCAGGGTCAACTCTCGCTCGTGAAATTCTTGTTTGGTTTTAGTGTCAGGAAAGAACTGCTGGTTTGTGTTTGGTAAAGTAAACTGTGGCAGTGTAAGTACTAAGTGACTATGATGATTTAATGTTGTAACTTTGGCTGTCACTTTCAACCCCATATGACGAGATGCATCCATTAACTAATGCAAAACTGACTTTTTAACTAGCCAGTTATTTAGCCCACCACAGGTCTCTTTTGCATGGACTGTTGCGTCGTCCTTTTTTAAGTCTTTCTCCATGTGTATGCCTTTATTTTCAGCTGCAGTGAGAAGGAATCTGGTCTGTGTGGCGTCTACGGAGGCAGAAATTATAAATACAATTAAAAAATGGTTCTACTGGGCTGGGGATGGGGACGGAGGGCGCAAAAGGAGAATGCCCACTCAACCAACCCCTCAACCAGCCCAGGACTCAGTCCAGGACTGACCTTTACAAAAATAAATAAATAAAATATTCAAATTTTACTCTTGTTTGGTTTTATGTTTATGCACCTCGTACACACAGTAACCTAGGCTATTTCACAAGGCTATTTAACTGAGGCACAAAATCTGAATCTTCTGTACAAGGACATTTTATAGTCTATTAAAATGTTAAATTAAATTTAGCATAAGGTTCAGAATAAAATACAATCTTTTGGTAAATGTATGGCTAATTATGGATAAGTTATGGCTCATATTTGGCTTTATTATGGGATTTTGGGATGGTTATGGCTATGCTTTGGAAAGCCACATTTTCTTTTGGGTGATCTTTTGGCAAACTTATGGTTACACCTTGATATCCTTTGGCCATTTTGTGGTGTTTTGGGGTTCTTTTGGTATAGTTATGGTTGTGCTTTGGAATTCCACAATTTATTTTGGAAGAATTCTGGCAACCTTTTGACAATCCATAATTCTATTTTGGCGTGCCTTATTTGGGCCATATTTGGCCCATCATTCCACCCAAAAGAGTACCAAACTGGCATGCCAAACTATTGCCAAAAATGATTCTGGCAACCTTTTGACAATCCATAATTCTATTTTGGTGTGCCTAATATGGGCCATATTTGGCCCATCATTCCATCCAAAAGAGTACCAAGACTGGCTTGCCAAACTAGGGCCAAAAAGAATTTGCTATCTGGGACGTCATCTCCATGCCATGGGTGTTTCTCAGTGTCAAGGCGCCTGGCCATGTGAGGCGATGTCTTGCGAGGCCAGGTGTCTTGCTTACGAGGACACCGTCCTGCCAAAGAAAACGGGCAAATGGAACAGACTTGCATCACGTGACTGCGGCTTCCACGGCCATCACGTAACATCACGGGAGATAACGTTATATTTTATACGTATTAGTTTCAATATAAATTTATAACGAGCCTTTTACTTTTTAAATTGTGTTTTATTAAATTAAGAATATAAGCGAGTTACTACCTGCTAGCCACCAAAGCTGCAACTACTAAGCAACTAACCAACCATAGATAACTTATTTGTATCTAAAAAAAACATTTTAAATTAGCTGACTTACTTTTAAACTTGAAAATTTTCCCCGAAGTAGCTGCCGGCTTCTCATCCGCCGTCCTTTTGAAAATACCGCGGTGTATTGTGGGTAATTTTTGACCAAGGCTAGGCTACAAGACACCTCCTGTGTATCCTCGCACAACTAGCTAAACGGTTAACAAACGGAAAACGCGCGCCTCGGTAGAACATGAACATTGGAACACGTCTTGGCGGCTCCCGATGACGTATCTCCTAGGCAACCCATGCGAGGCCAAGACATCAAGACAAGGTTCCCTGGCATTGAGAAACACCCCATGTTTTTCTTCAGCTCAGCAACTAAACCAGGTGACTTCAATCCGCACAGCAAGTGAACCTGGTTCAGTTGCTAAGCAGAACAAAAACACGGCATGGAGATGACTTGTTGAAGCCACAGTTAGTAGTTTTAAAAAGAAGCTTAAACAAACTTGACTTTGGCTGTCATCAAATTAATGTTTAGGTTTAAATGTGAATGAATTAAAGACTTGAAGGTAAATAAATGAATGTGTCCAACCTGATTAAACACGGGAAAAGGTAGTAACCGTACACTACCGCCAGCACAGCAGGAAATCTTTGGTATGCACTGCACATGTCAGTTAGCGTAACACTGTCACTCCTTTACCAGTGTATTATTCTGTAGAAATTTAAAAGAAAAATGAAAGGAAAAGTTAATTTTGATGAAGCCTTTTTGAAAGGTTATTCCTAATTCACCAAAATCAAATATGATCAAAGCCTAGAGCTTTTAGCAGCTTCTGTCTCCACAGCTGACAATTGTTGGATGTAAGCTTTAGCTAAAAGATTTGGATTAAAACGTATCATGGCTGTTTTTTCATGCATACGTAGAAACCAATTACACTAAAATGTGTTCATGTTTTTGCAATAAAAGTGCTTTGCAGTAAAATAAACATTAATGAGCTAATTAGCTTACGGGCTAATCATGTAGCACTGGGAAAAACATTCTAAAGAAGAGTTTAATGGAATTTAATTGGGCTAAAGCTAACTGTACTATTTCACAAATGCAGTAAACAAATTTTGTTGCTCTCATGGAAAGTTTTAGTAGGTTAACATCATTAATACCCACAGCACACCGTTAGCATCATTAGCATCGCGCTGTAGATGTGTCCCCTCCTGGAGTGTGAATTCCCCGGTTGGGGGGGTGGGGGGGAGGAAAACTGCTACCGGAGTTAACGGTGAATCTTTGGTTTGTTAGCTGATGAGGTTTCTGTTGTTCTTTTAACCGTTTTTTTTTTCCATTTTGTTATTTTTTTCTTTGAAAAACTGCATAGGCACACGTTAAAGACACTCTTCAACTGTGAGAGACACATTAATGTTCTGCCTTTTTGGTGAGTCGGAGAGAAGAAAATGGGTGACGGTATTTTTGGTTTCGTCCCTCCTTCCCGTGTGTTTTTTCTTTTTTTTTTATACCCTTTTCAGTCCCCAGCTTGCTTCCCGTTAAAGCCCACTTGATGCAGCATCAGACTGAACAAAGCTACTTCACCTCTTCCGCAATGTCGTCCTTTCCTTCCATCTCTTCTTCCTTGACATCGTTGCCGCCATTCTTTTTTATCCTTTTTTTGGAATAATTCTTTTCCATCTTGAGTAAGGTTTTTTTCCATTTGTTGGAACAGTTAGGTGCAGAAAAAGGTTTTCTTTGGTTTCGATTTTTCAATAAATAGAAAAAGTCTCAAGTGTCCTTATTTTGTTTAAAATGTTCGTAAAGCCTTTGGCTGCCTTTAACCAGGCCAAGTCTAAGCCTGGAGTTTTCTAAGGAGGGGCTGCTGACTGACGCCTTTGCTTTGGTTAGATTTTCTTTTTGGTTTGATAGCTTGAATGAAAGATGATTAATGAGGTGATAGTTGAAAGTAAAGACTGCTAAAACAGAGCTGGAGGTGATGTTGTTGAGTGTATTGGCTGCGTTGGTATTTACATAAGTCTGTACAGTCTAACAAATAAAGAAAAAAAACAAGGATTATTTAAAGTTTATGGCTGAATATTTATTTAAATCCTTTGTTTGCAACGTTGAGACAGCTGAATCTCGATGAGGGACAAACTTTACAGGCATCGTCTTTAGATTGTCCTCTTTAACTATTACAAAGGCCCTGATTCGCCTAGAAAGTTTGTCCTCCAGCAGTTCAGGTGGTCTCTTGGTTCTACCGTTTAATTGTGATGGAAATGTTGGGTCATGTTTTAATGGCAGCTGGACGTTTTCAAAAGCATCTTGGCTTTAGGGAATATTTTAAGTCAAAAGTTTATTCAGAACATTTTTTATCATAAAAATATTCTCTAAAAAGAAAAAAACACGTCTGAATTTAAACTTTTGAAAAAAAAAAAATTTTAAATTATTGACCAAGTATCTGTAGCTTGAAAATTGGGTTTTTGGTAAGAAAAAAATTCCTGGCTTTCTGTCTGAGGAAAGCTACTTTTTCATCACGACGCTAACATATTAAAATGGTTAGAAAAACTAGTTATATTTTTATTTGTAGAAACATTCTATTGGCAAAGGATTGGGAATTTTGTAGAAAAATAACTAAATGTTTCCTTTACAAATGGTGTTTTTTGAAGATTGGCTACCAGATTTTTTAACCAACTATCCGTCAGTTTATTTATCACATATTTTATCGCTAAAAAAAATCTAAAACTAGAGCAACAACTAAAACCAGGATGCTCTGAAAAGGGGCCGCCTTCTTGAATGAGTTTTGATTAGAAATGCCCGGGGAATTGGGTTTGGTCACGGTGGAGACTTTGGTAAAACTTTCAGGAAATGACTCTTTAAAGTTGCATTTGTTTATGTAAAATCAAGTTGTATTTTTATGAATATACGTGTTTGTACGTTACACCATGATGTGACACATGCCGAATGGATTTCAGCCACTTTTTAGAAAATATGGCATCCTGAGTTTTTCTAAGATGCAAAGCCCACTCGGCTCGGCTGTTAGCCCCGGTTCTATTGCAAAGAAAATGTGCTTCAAGATTGTGCTCACGTACACATGTCACAAAAATACTCCACTGAACGCTAAATATGCCGAGAAAGCTTGTACTAAATTTCTGTCGGATGAGTGCTTTGGTGCAAATGTTTGTGCTTGCATATTTTGCCGTTTTCTTACTTCGAAAGCTCATGCTACCTTCTTTAAAGAGTCAAATCATTGAGTGTAGGACAGATGATGGCATTGAGGGTTTGGGAACCATCTTGAATTCTGATTCATTAAAACTATTCAGCATCCTGAAATGACCTGTGTTTGGCCCAAAGTCTCTGTTTAAAATCCAACAGTTTTCCAAATGTAAGCTGTGCGTTTTCTGAAAACCTCCTGAATGAAAACCCTGCCCCAAACTGAAGAGTCTTTGGATATTTAAGGGCTAGAATAAACCAAAATTTCCACAGAAAATGTTAATATCCCAGAGCTTCCATCACATTCTGCAGTCATAAAGCTTTCCTTGGTTTCATGTTTGGTTGTTTCCTAGCTTATATTGCATAATAGAAAACATACATTGTCTTCTAGTCTTTGGTTTTTGGGCTAGAGTGTCAGCCTGTTATCCTAAAGGAGACATCAGCAGTGAAAGTCCATGATTCAAAAGGTCCCCCAGTGAGATTTGTTGGTTTCTAGATGGTTTTACCCTTCAGCTTTCTTTATGGACGTATGATAATTTTGCAAAAGGCGATTTGGCTACAAGTCGTGGCAGTGAGCAGCCCCTCTCAGTTTGTCACCCTCAGTGAAAAAAAAAAGGTTTGGTGTTCCGCCCCGTTTTGACCGGATGAAACGTCGACCCACTCCCCCAATCCATCCCAGTGTCTCCACTGAATCCAGTGAAGACCCCTCCCCATTGCTCCCCTCCCTCCTCTTAACCTCGCTGTCTCCCATCATGCTTTGGTACAAGTGCTGGACGCTGAGGACAGTGCCCCAGGGCTGGCTCCGTCATCTGTCCATTTGTCCAGGCTCCGGCGACGGGCATTCATGAAGAAGTTGCTTACAGTGGTGAGTTCGAGGCCCAGCTGCTGCGAGATTGTGAGCTGCATCTCCTTGGATGGCCGTTTGTTCTCCTTGAAGATGGCCAACAGGGTGCGCCGCTGCAAGTCGGTAAAGACGAGCCGCGACTTCTTTGGTGTGTTGTTGCGATCCTTCGCTGTGTCCTGCTCCTTCCGTTTACACGCTAAGCAGCACAAAGGAAAAAGGGTTTTGGGGAAAAGAACAAAGAACAGAGTTTTAGTGTTTGTTTTTGAATAAATAAACATAAAAAAGTTTAAATAATTTTTTTTGTAGAACCGATCTAAAAAGCTCCTGTTGTGAATTTGTAGTTTTAATTCACAAGTAGGGCTGGGTGGAATCAATATCCTCATATGTTGAGGATTTCACTTCGATAACAATACATGTACAATAACAATACATGTACGATAACAATACATGTACGATAACAATACATGTACGATAACAATACATGTAGATAACAATACATGTAGATAACTACATGGACGATTACTACATGGATGATAACTACATGAGCGATAACTACATGTACGATAACTACATGAAGGATAACCACATGAACGATAACTACATGAACGATAACTACATGGACGATAACTACGTGGACGATAACTACGTGTACGATAACTACATGTACGATAACTACATGAAGGATAACTACATGAAGGATAACTACATGAACGATAACTACATGTATGATAACTACATGTACGATAACAAAAAATAAATAAATTGTAAGTCGCTTTGGGTAAAAGCGTCTGCTAAGCACATAAACATAAACATAACTACATGAAGGATAACTACAGGAACGATAACTACATGAACGATAACTACATGGACGATAACTACGTGGACGATAACTACGTGGACGATAACTACGTGGACGATAGCTACGTGTACGATAACTACATGAACGATAACTACATGGACGATAACTACGTGGACGATAACTACGTGGACGATAACCTAGTGTACGATAACTACATGAAGGATAACTGCATGTACGATAACTACATGAAGGATAACTACATGAACAATAACTACATGTACGATAACTACATGTACGATAACTACATGAAGGATAACTACATGAAGGATAACTACATGAAGGATAACTACATGAAGGATAACTACATGTACGATAACTACATGTACGATAACTACATGAAGGATAACTACATGAAGGATAACTACATGAAGGATAACTACATGAAGGATAACTACATGTACGATAACTACATGTACGATAACTACATGGACGATAACTACATGAACGATAACTACGTGGACGATAACTACGTGTACGATAACCACGTGGACGATAACCACGTGGACGATTACTACATGTACGATAACTTCATGAACGATAACTACATGTACGATAACTACATGGACGAAAACTACATGAACGATAACTACGTGGACGATAACTACGTGGACGATTACTACATGTACGATAACTTCATGAACGATAACTACATGTACGATAACTACATGGACGAAAACTACATGAACGATAACTACGTGGACGATAACTACGTGGACGATTACTACATGTACGATAACTTCATGAACGATAACTACATGTACGATAACTACATGTACGATAACTACATGTATGCATAGACACAAAGGTTGTCCACTAGATGGGGCTGTCACGTGTATCTTATTGAGTCATGCTGACACGTGACTCGTGGTGGGACAGCTTTTTAATGGGACATGACTGTTGCCAACCTTCACACATGTTTTCATTTTTCAAATGATTGAATTTATTGACATGGGTTAGAGGCAGAAACTTCAATAACGATATACAATTTTGATTTATTGTCCAGTCCTATTAACAAGTAGCCTGGCAAGCCAGACTAAATAAATGTATTATTTAGTCTGGCCATGCTCCATTGACGGCTCTCGGTTGTGGGGCGGGTTCTACCGTTGTCTTTCAAATGATCTCCGCATTCCATTGGACAATGAATGTGATATACTCTTGTTTCACTCTGTTGCATCATCCCACCCACCAGGCATATAGAGTGCCCTGATTGACCCACAAAGCGGATAAAGCTCTGTGATTTGTTCACTAAGCAGATAGACCACTATGATTGGCCCACCATTATGAACCAACCACAGCTCTTTATGTGTTTGAAACCCCTCTAGAGAGCTGTGATTGGCTAGCCAGAGTCCTGGTAGGAGCTGTGGAGGTTCCAATGGAGCGTGCCTAGACCAAACTTTGCAAAGCAAGAATTTGGTCTAGTTCACTAGGCTAATTAACAAGTAAATATTTCAGAAATGCAGGGATGAAACACTGGTCAGTGGTGCATCTTCGACTTCATACAGGACCGCCGTTACTGAGGGTGGAACATTCTAGAAACTACAGTTTTTACTCAAGTCCTTTTAAGTGTTTTCTTTTTAAAACTATTTTCCACTCTACCCCATAACAGCATCAACAATTTAAGGCAACCGGCATCAAAACAATTACATAAAAATGGTTCTTATAAAGTATCCACCCATTTTCTATACCGGCCAGAGGGTCATGGGGAGCTGCTGCCCAACCCAGTTGTGACTGGGTGAGGGGCGGGGTTACACCTAAAATAATACAGGAAAACTGGGAATTGAACCCAGAACCTATTAACAACAAGGCAAGAGAGTTGTTCTACTGCTTCATCTGGGAACTATTTAGGCCATTATTATGAAATAAATAGGAGGACCAGTGTTGACACGTTCACATTGTTGTACGAGAGGTAGTGGGGGATGGGGGAGGTCTGGGTGTGTTTGATTTGATTACCTCCTTGAATTAAGTATGCACGAGTCAGAGCCCAGCTGATCAATACGAATCAGGTTAAAGACTCAATTCAGTAACGACTATTATGTAAGGGGAAGCTATCCTGGCTGTAAACACACACACACACACACACACACACACGGCGACATCCCTCTCAGCTTCTTATCACACCGTTTAGCGGCCTGACAACAGATACCGGCAGCACAGCGCAGCTCTTGTTTTTGTCTCTAAACAAACAGCTGGACAGAAACACGCCAAATCATCACATCTCAAGTGTTTCTGTGATTGTTTAGTCTGGTCTGAAGGACTGGGTTCTCAAAGGGAATGAGCGAGGAATGCTCAGGCTGTCATTGACAGGTGGTGCTGTTGAGCTAGCCTGGATTGACATTTTTAAACTGTGTTTGTGAAAGAAGACAATATTTATTTAGGTTTTACTTTAAGGAAGATACCTTATGCATCAACTTTTAACTGTATTAATATTATAAGTAAAAAAATTTTCCACATTTTTAGAAAAGTTATTCCTTAAGCATTCACTTGTTCTTTTTTATTTAAAATTTTTTTTGGCCTCATGTAAATAATTTAGAGGTGCGTTTGGCCATTTTTATCTTGTTTAACCTTCCTGTATGCTGTAATCGATACTGGCATGAATCACGGGGACATGGCGTTCTTTAGTCCAACAATCTGTTTGCTTTAGATTTGTTGATTCAAAGTTTAGAAAGAATCTTGGACTTTGGCCGAAGCTGGATGATCTGTGAGCTAACAGACCAACGGGCGGAAAAAAACACGCTGAACTCATCCTACAGTCGTTCACCACTAAGGAGCAGGCTGCTCCGCCTCACGCTCAGAGAAATGATTATACTCCTTATGACGAATTTACCTCCAAAGGTCAAAGAATTTTCATTTTCCTCACAGTTAAATCTAAACCATTTCATGGACACTTATTTAAATCCATATAACTAATTCACGTTAAAATAAAGTCAATACCTTTTCTGCTGCAGATGTAAAGATGATTTCATTCTTTTTTTTGGTTAAAGTTCCAAATAAATTCTGATTTAAATATTTGCGACAAATAAAAAGTTTAAAAACCAGCAGATAAAATCAAGCATCAAGCAGTTTGATTTAATTTCTACAGACGTGATCCTTAGCTGATTTTAGGATATCTTCTGATTAATATTCTGTCCTACAGCAGCTTCATGCATGAGTTATTATTCAACAAAAATCTCACCGCAACAATATCAAAATAATACGACCTTAACACAAAATAAACTCTAATTAAACAAACGCTCATTTCAACTCAATTAAAAAATACTTTATTAATCCCAGAGGGAAACTGATTGCTGTAGTAGCTCAGAATAATAATAATAATCAAGTCATCAAAGAGTTGTTGTATATTACAATGGCTGTTGGCAGGAAGGATCTCCAGTAGCGGTCAGTGTTGCAGCGAAACTGAAGAAGCCTCTGACTGAAGACACTCTTCCGTTGTCGGACAGTCTTGTGAAGAGAACGCTCAGGGTTGTCCATCATTTTCTTGATTCTCTGGAGAATCCTTCTTTGCATGATCTCCTCCAGTGGTTCCACAGTCATCCCCAGAACAGAACCAGCCTTTTTTATTAGGCTGTTGAGCCTTTTCAGGTCCCTGCTTCTGATGCTGCTACCCCAACAGATGATGGATGAAGAGATTACACTCTCAACAACAGACTTGTAGAAGATCTGCAGCATCTTGCTACAGACATTGAAGGACCTAAGCGTCCTCAAGAAGTGCAGTCTGCTGTGTCCCTTCTAGTAAACAGCTTCGCTGTTCTTTCTCCAGTCCAGTCTGTTGTCCAGGTGAACTCCAAGGTATTTGTATTCCTCAACCACCTCCACTTCTTCTCCCATGATGGAAACAGCGTTTGACTCCACCCTGTTTCTTCTGAAGTCTAAAACCATCTCCTTTGTTTTGTTCACGTTCAAGGTCAGATGATTGTTTCCACACCATGCCACAAAGCGCTCCACCAGGTCTCTGTACTCAGCTTCCTGTCCATCTCTGATCCACCCGACAACTGCAGTCATCTGAGTGTTTCTGTAGATGACAGGTCTCTGATTTGTACTGGAAGTCTGAGGTGTACAGGGTGAAAAGAAATGGTGAGAGTACAGTCCCCTGTGGTGCTCCAATGCTACTGATCACCTGGTTTGATGTGCAGTTCTTCAGCCTCACAAACTGTGGTCTGTTTGTCAGGTAGTCTTTAATCCAGGCGATAGTTGAGGCCCCCACCTGTGTCTTCTGGAGTTTCTGGCAAAGTACATCAGGCTGGATTGTGTTAAATGCACTAGAGAAATCAAAGAACATGACCCTCACAGTGCTGCCTGCTTTGTCCAGATGACAGTGGGTTGGTTGAAGCAGCTGGATG